GGGCGGGGCGGGGCCGCGCGGCGGTGACGTGCCCGGCGCGCCGGGCGCTGACGTGTCGGTGCGGGCGCTGGCGCGGGACGCGGGGGGATGCGGGCGCTGATCCTCGTGGGCGGCTTCGGGACGCGGCTACGGCCGCTGACCCTGAGCCGGCCGAAGCCGCTGGTGGAGTTCTGCAACAAGGCGGTGCTGCTGCACCAGCTGGAGGCTCTCCGGCAGGTGGGGGCGCGGGGCGCGGGGGGTGCGGGGCCGCCCCGCCGCCGGCTGACCCGCACTCCCGCAGGCGGGCGTCAGCCATGTGGTGCTGGCGGTGAGCTACATGTCGGAGGCGCTGGAAGCCGCCATGCGGGAGCAGGAACAACGGGTAAGGGCCCTTCCGCCTCCCCCCACCTCCCCCCGCAACCCAGCTCGCCCCGCCACTCACCTTGTGCCCGCAGCTCGGCATCCGCATCTCCATGTCCCACGAGAAGGAGCCGCTGGGCACAGGTAGGATGCATGTAGGGGCGGGGGCGGGCGGGATGGAGTGAGGCCCGGGGGCAGCGGGGTGGGTGCTGGGGATGGGTCTGGCAAGGCTGGGGACGCTGGGAGGCGGCACCGTGGGCAGCAGGGTGGGTATGAATGTGTAGGGCTGGGGGGCAACAGGAGCGGGACAGCATGGACAGCGGCATGGGTATAGACAGCGTACAGATGGGAGGACCGGGAGCACCTGGAGGGGGATGCCAGGATGGACATGGGCAGGACCAGGGAAAGCGGGGCCAGCCGAGGATCCAGAGGGACTGGGGACTTTGCGGGGGCACGCTGGGACGGGCAGAGGCGGGACCAGCAGGACCCGGGCACTGGGCTCACCGCATCCCCGCGGGGTCATTCCTGGCTGGGCAGCGGGGCCGCTGGCACTGGCACGGGACCTGCTGGCCGAGGACGGGGAGCCCTTCTTTGTCCTCAACAGCGACGTGATCTGCGAGTTCCCCTTTGAGGCGCTGGCCCGTTTCCACCGGCACCACGGCGGCGAGGGCTCGCTGGTGGTGACCCGCGTGGAGGAGCCGGCCAAGTACGGCGTGGTGGTGTGCGAGGCCGACACCGGCCGCATCTGCCGCTTCGTGGAGAAGCCGCGCGTCTTCGTGTCCAACAAGATCAACGCCGGGCTCTACATCTTTAATCCCGGCATCCTGCAGCGCATCCAGGTACAAGCCGGGGGGCTGGGCTGGGCCAGGCTGGGGGGCTGGGCCCCCTGCTCAGCCCTGCTCCCTGTCCCTGCAGCTGCGCCCCACCTCCATCGAGAAGGAGATCTTCCCGGCCATGGCGCAGGACGGGCAGCTCTATGCCATGGAGCTGCAGGGTAAGGCCCTGTGCACAGTGCAGGCAGCATCGGGGGGTCTTGCCTGCTCTGCCACCCCTGCTCTGGGGGTTGTCACCACGGCTCTGTCCCTGCAGGCTTCTGGATGGACATTGGGCAGCCAAAGGACTTCCTCACGGGCATGTGCATGTACCTGCAGGCGCTGCGGGCTCAGCACCCTGAGAAGCTGCACTCAGGGCCTGGTGTTGTAGGGAACGTGCTGGTGGTAAGTGCCAGCCCCCAGCACATCAGCCCCGGGCACATCATGGGCTCTCCGCGTCGTCCCACTGCTCTCCTCACTGCCATCCTCGAGCTGTGCCTTCCTGTCCCCATGCTGGCCTAGTGGCCTGGGCTGTGCCAAGAGCTCTGTCTGCCCTCCCAACCCTGGCACAGCCCATCTTCCTTCCAGGACCCCAGTGCCAAGATTGGGGCAAACTGTGTCATCGGCCCTAACGTGACGATCGGGGCCGGCGTGGTGGTGGAGGACGGGGTGCGCATCAAACGCTGCACCGTGCTGGAGGGAGCCCGCATCCGCTCCCACTCCTGGCTGGAGTCCTGCATCGTGGGCTGGAGCTGCTCCGTGGGCCAGTGGGTGAGGCCCTGGGTACCCCTGCACGGTATTGAAGCTCAGCTCTTGCCCTCCCGCCTCCTCAGGCTGTGGCTGGAGGGATGTGCCGGTGCCTGCGGGCAGGAGTGGGAGCACAGCCCAGGGCCTGAGCCGGGCAGGTGTGACGGAGCCTCTCCGGGCAGGTGCGCATGGAGAACGTGACCGTGCTGGGTGAGGACGTCATCGTCAATGACGAGCTCTACCTCAACGGGGCCAATGTGCTGCCACACAAATCCATCGCCGAGTCCGTGCCAGAGCCACGCATCATCATGTAGCAGAGCACCCTGCGGCCCCAGCCCTCCTTGGATTAAATATTTATATTTCCATTTACTGTTCAGCATTACCTGAGCATGGCCCAAGCACCAGGTCGCTTGCCAGGGCTGGCCTGGCTTCCCCTCCCTGTGTCTCAAGGCACCACATAAGGAAGAATAATTTAATGTTGCATTTCACGAAGTCAGCCCCCAGCCAGGGGCAAGTTAACAGCCCGAATGCCCAGCCCAGCCCCACTGCCCTGGGGCTGCCACATGTTCCCAGCGCTGCTGCAGAGCCGAGGCCTTGGGCTCCCCTCCCTGAGAATGGCCCTCGGGACAGAGAGGCTGCCAGGCGAGGGGACGCTGGCCTCTCCCACCCTGCAGCCCCCTGTCCCACACTGCAGCCCCATGCTGGGTCCTGGCCCTCTGGGTGAGAGTCCCACGGCCCTGAGCAGGGCAAGCATTTGGGGAGAAGCCAGCATGGGGCAGGGGGGCCACCCCTGTCAGCCTGGGGGAGCCTGTGGGGCAGGGCTGGGCTCTACGAGCTGGCTGGCTTGGTGAAGTCGTCCACCCCCGTGATGGTGGCCTTGCAGAAGAAGCAGTCCTTGTTGTTCATCAGGTGCTGGTTGATACAGGCTCTGGGACAGAGGAGGAAAGAGCATCAGCCCCCCACCCTCATGGCACAGGGGAGCTGGGGGCTGGCAGTTGCCCTGGCGGGGGTCAGGCATGGGAGTTACTCACTTGCATGACTTGTGGGAGCAGGGCCTGAAGATGGCAGAGATGGGGTGTGCGTAGCAGATGGGGCACAGGTCCTCCTCACTGGTGGGCTGTGGGGGTCACCAGGCAGTTAATGTGGCAGACGAAGCCCTGTGTCTCAGGGCAGCTGTGCCAGAGCCGGGGCTTCTGCGGAGGATGGGGACAGGGCTGGGGGGAGGAGACACTCACCAGTGTGGTGGCAGCTGCCTGCTTGGACTCCTCACTCAGGTGGCTCAGCATCTTCTCCACCTTTGCCAGCTCCTCAGCACTGATATACTCTGTGTCTGGGGGGACAGAGTGAGTGTACGTGGGGCGGATGGGACCCTCAGGCTGCCCTGAGGCATCTGGGTGATGAAGGGGGGCTGCATCCCCTTGGGGACCAGCCAGGACAGGGATCCCCGTGCTGGGGACAGCAGGCTGGACATTGGGCACTGAGAGGGACAGAAATGCTGACAAGCAGGCACTGGAGACATCCCCATCTAAAGTGTCCCGCTGGGGGATGAGGGTCAAGGATGCCTATCCCCAGGACTAAAAGGGCTGGGACATGTTGCAGGGGACACAGACACCACCAGCAGCCCCGTTCCCAGCCCAGCTGTGGGCGGGTGGTGAGCACAGCCCAGCTCCCAGCGCAGTGCCGGCACTTACAGGTGTGCAGGGAGAAATGGCGCTTGTCCGTGGCCGGGGCAGCAGCTGCCATGGCCGAGGGCTCAGCGTGGCCCAGCAGGTACTGGATGGAGCGCAGCTGGAAGCAGGGATCCGCCAGCAGCACCGCCGTCGCTCGCTCGGCCCTGCCAAGGGACACAGTCAGATCACAGACTGCACACCCTGCAGGCCCAGGCCACCCGGCTGCATCCCCAGCTGGTGGTCCCCCTGCTCCCTGAGAGCCAGGGAAACGTGCCCAACTGCAGCCAAAGGGTAGCAGCCACCCTCCTCCTCGACCGGGAGGCTCCGGCGATCGATATGGTGCATCAGCACTTGCTGAGGCTGCAGCCCTCACGCCGGTGCCCACAGAGCCTGGGGAGCTGCGGGGCGGCTGGAGCTGCCAGCGCTGCCCTGGGTCACAGCCCTGCAGGGGAGAAGGGGAGATGTCCCGCAGCAGCCTCACGCCGGGGGCTGTGGCTCCGTGCACCAAGGGACAGCTCAGGGTGCCCCCAGAGCAAGCAGGTGCCCCCACAAGACAGGAGGGAGCAGTCGTGGCTCTTCCTGGCTTCAGCGTGGCTCTTCCTGGCTTCAGCGGGGACAGGCAGGAGGGATGAAGGGCACCTTAATGGGTGTCTCCATCGGCATCAGTGCTGTGGCCCGTTCATGGCCCTTGGCAAGAAGCAGAGCTGGCTCCGTGGCCAGCCCAGGGGCAAGCCCAGCCACTCCAGCGGCAAGAGGGGCAGGAGGAGTGAGGGGAA